TATATATATATATATATGGGAGTCTCCACTGGCACTATGTACTGTGGTATATATATTTGGGAGTCTCAACCGTCACTACCACAAATAAGAAAGGGAATCCTCCAAATGCCTCTAATTCCATCACATGGGAGAAAAGGGGTTGAAGGACATTTCTGGCTACACAAGATCTTGTCTTAAAATTTAAATTCATTTAAAAAAAGTAGCTAGGTTTGGTGGTACACACCTTTAACACCAGTACTCAGGAGACTGATTTTAAGGCCAGAGTTCCAATACAGCCAGGGCTACAAAGAAAGCCTTTCTCAAAAACGCACAACCACAACAAAACAAAACACAAAGAGTGGTCATCAAATGAAGACATTAAGTAGAATTGAGTATTTGGTATCAACTCTCCATCTCATATGTAACTCAGACTGGTCTGAAATTTGCTATATAACCATGGTTACCGTAAACTCCTTATCTTTCTCCTTCCACCTCCCAAGCAGTGGGATTACAAGTGTGACAGCCAAGAGGAGCCTGAAATACCTTTAAAGCACTGAGAGATTAAGGGGTGTACGCTTTCAATCCCAGCATTTGGGGTGCAGAGGCAGGTAGATCTTTGAGAGTTCCAGGACAGCCAGGGCTGTATGTCAAAACACACAAACAAAACTCTAGGATCCTTTTTTAATCTTATTAAGTGTCACAGCTAAGAATCCCTGTCTTGTTACTAATTAAGCCTCTGGCAAACTCTAACTTAACAGTTTCTGGTACCATAAAATATTTGCAACAGATGTTAGATAAAGAAAAATCAAGGTGGAGTGAAAAGAAGCCCGAAATCATAAATTGGGAGAATTTTGCACTCAACAGTACTTTCCTCCAAAGGCAAGATTTGTGATTAAAAAATTTCAAATACAAAGAATCTAGCTTTTTGATTTTTTTTTTCTGTTTAGTCATAGTTTTTTTGTGGGGTTTTTGTTGTTGGTGGTTGTTTTTTGACTTGAGAACTATTAGAGGGTACAATTCCAGAGTTCACGCCTCCGGTCTATTCCACACGTGGGGCTAGGTGTCCCGCATGTGAACCTAACATTAAGCTCAGATTAAAAACAACTCCACAGCGTGTTGCTTTGGCAAAGATGAGTCTGTGTTCAAGAAAAACCACAACGCTGAGGCGAGTGGTCAGGGGTACTCTCCGGGGTGGCTCCTCCAAGGTCCCAGGAGAGGAGGACTTCATTGACGCTCCCCAGAGGGAAAGGGAAGAGTCTGGGACAGGTGGGCCAGAGGCGCTGCTCGGCCAGAGACCCGGGGGCAGCCTGCGAAAGGGCGGGCCGGCGGGCACTCACCTCGGCGTCGTCTTTGCACTGCGGGAGCGAAGGGAACTCCAATTTCACGTCCTCCATGGTCCCAGGGCCCCGACGGGTGGGCGCGGTGCGCCCAGCCGCCCCCCTGGGCTGGCAGAGGCGACAAGGGAAGGAGGGCGGGAGGAGGGCGGGCTGACGCGCGGCGGGCTCACAGCAAGCACTTGCGGACCACAGGGTCCAGGCGGCTGCGACAGGAAGGCAGAGAGCAGGGCGGTGCGCGGCTGGCCGCCATGCTGCGGCCGTCTCCCTCCCGCAGGTCTCCGCGCCCCTCAGACAACCGGGATCCGGCCCAGGCACGAGCCCATAACCGTCTCCTCCCGCCCCAGCCCACGTGCCACAGCCAATCCCAGCCCACGCTCTCCGACGGCCCGCCCCCGCCGCCGCCAGGTGTCAGCGCGCCTCCGCCCTGCCGGTCCGCGAGCGCGCAGACGCGGGGGGAGGGGCCTCCGGCGGGGCGGAGCCGCGGCGGAAGGGAGGGAGGAGAGGTCAGGGCTAAGGCAGTCTGCTGTCAGGCCAGCTAGGCCTTCCTAGATGGGAAGGGAGTCCCTTCAAAGTGCCTTCCATGATGCGGCACTCAGAGGAATGCTGCCCAATCCATGGGGGAAGTTATAACCAAACAGTTAGAGTTCAGTTTAAATTCAAGTTAGACTACGCAAAAACAAACAAACAAACAACCCAAAAACTCTGAGATACCTATCATTTTTAAACAAAGTAGAAAGTGGCCTCTTTGGTAAAGTCCGGAGTGTAACAACTCAAATTATCCAGAAAATTTCAAGAAAATGATTCATAGAAAAAGTCATCAGAAATGATAGTTTACTTACTAAATTGTACTCAGTACTTTTTAAGATTTCTCCAAGTCAATTTTTCAACATAAAATATGATTGTGTGTGAGGAGGTGGCATTGGAATTAGTAATTTTTAAAAGTTAAGAATATATCTTTTCAGGGTCTCACTATGTAGACCAGGCTGGTCTTCAAATTCACAAGAGTTCTGGGATTAAAGGCCTGGTTCTGAACAACCTTTGGTCTCACTGAAGGAATCACTGAAGGCGGCAAAGTGTGTAACTAACACTATCACTACTTTTCACTGTATTTTAAGACTACTTCCTAGAGACCTCAGAACTTACTATTATTATCAAAAACCATCCTTTAAAAACAAAGTGGAAGGGCCATGTGTTTAACTTAGATTTCTTCTAATTCTTTTCATGTTGTCATATATGTAATGCATGTTCAACATACAGAAGTAAACTGTTCAATAATTAACTAGATGGCCAATTAGATGTTCCAAGTTCTCTAGTATTACATAAACTGTTATTCAGCTTTAAAAATTACAAAAGGCACAGAATACCCTGCTAGTAATTTTTAATTAAAATATAATCCAATGGCAAGTATGGTGAATGCCTTTACTTTCACCACTTAGGAGACAGAGACTGGAGAATGTGAGTTGAGGCCAGCCTAATCCACACAGTGGATTGTCCCAGGCCAGCCAGGGGTACAGTGAGACCCTGACTCGAAAAGAATTACATATCTAGCTAGACCATTTATGGTTAGTCCTTTGGCATTTATGAAACTGAAGTTTGATGTCTTTATTTAAACAAAAATTAACTATAAATAATCTCAATTTTTAGACATTCACAATTTCCTTATACAACTTTTGATTGCCACATGAAATTAGAATTGTGTACAAGTAACAGAACTTTTGTTTTGAACAATTCTGACATTTAACATTCTATAGAGTACACACTCTCTGCCTGGTATTTACCTGAAAATATTTATAGAATCCATTGGTGAACCTAGGAAATAATACATCTCTAGAAATCACATATATGCAAAATTATTATGTCCACGAACAGACTTTTCCTAGATCTAGAGCTCAAAAGGGAATTATTTTTTCACATAAACCAAATTAACTATATGTATTATGACCAGTCATAATCTTTAAAAAGTTAATTATCAAATATGTAACAACAGATAATTTCTTGGAAGACACAAGTGCATGTATAATATACTCTATACCCACACTCTATGATATATACAAGAAGACAATTTTGTGGACTCTGTGAGTACTGCTTTAAAAATAAAATTCAAAGCCCTATTTTTTTTTTTTTTTTTGTTTTTTCGAGACAGGGTTTCTCTGTATAGCCCTGGCTGTCCTGGAACTCACTCTGTAGACCAGGCTGGCCTCGAACTCAGAAATCCGCCTGCCTCTGCCTCCCAAGTGCTGGGATTAAAGGCGTGCGCCACCAACGCCCGGCTTCAAAGCCCTATTTTAATTTTCAATTTCATCCAGGCTCTCAAATCATATACTCATTGATCCAAAAGGACTAGAATAAATGTGCTCTTAGAAAAGACAAGAATATATATAAGACAAGTTAAACAGATTTTATTGCTTTTCTTTTAGGACGAGGAAAACAAAATATAAAATAAGTCATAAGACATGCTCTCCTCTACTATCCCAAACCACTTTGAATGTTGTACAAAGTGCTCACAAAGCACATATGAAAAGCTTCAGCGTGTCTTTCGTAAAGTCTGCTGCAGTAAATGCAACATTAACAAACATACAACTTTCTTCTGTACCAATTTAAAAGAATTACTGAATTACATACTATTATGTTGCTTAGACATGTTTATTCACTTTTAATGAGATCACTGCCAATACATACATTATTTTCCTTAACTTTATTTTTACATTAAGCAAATGTCTGTCATGCAGCCACCAAAAACTTTATAGTAAATTACACAGGTTTGTAGTCCAGTTTCGACTCTAGCTTCTTGGAGTCAGCCACTTTTCTGACTGCTTTCATGAAATCTTCCTGAACTACAAAATCATGATCGGCACGAATTGCAAACATACCTGTGGAAAACGAAACAAATTGCTGCTTATAGTATGTGAAATGCAGTTCAATCAGTAAGAAAACTGAGCTGGGAACAGTGGCCCATGCCTATAAATAACCTCAGCACTTAGACTGCAACTGGAGGACTGCAAGTCTAAGACCAGCCTAACATGTCAAGGCCTGATCTCAAAAGAAAAGGTGAAAGAAAACTAAGTAATCTTATCTCTATGGAGGAAATGTGAAGAGGTATATACTTACTACTTCTGGGCCAGCAGTGCTACTTCATACACTTTCATAAGTAGAGTGAGCATTATTTTTGAAATGAAGCAGATAACACAATTATCTGAGTATTTAAATCTAGACTGTGTAGTACTTAATAAAACTAATCTTCATTTAATAAAAATACTGGTAGTATTAAGTGGTAGTAGTTAATAAAAACACCCAAAACTATCAAGACCTACACATTCTTGGCTGAAGTTTCTTAATAGCATATGCAACGACTCCCCAAAAGAACAAAACATCTTGGCTAGGCTATTCATCCACCTAGTGGAACAGGTAGGATGTTTGCTTAACATATGCAAGGTCTTGGGTTTGATCTCCAGCAATGCAAAACCGAACCACCAACTTCCAGTAACTTTAATAATGATTACCTGTCACTAAGCAAGGCTTAAGGTTAGGAATATAGCTGTCAGTGCAGTGTTGCCTAAATTATAAACACTGGTTCAATCATCTGTACTGTGTGCTATAAGGCTATAATCCTAGCACTTGGGAAGGAGAGGTAGGATAATCACTATACACTGTATATTTCAAAAAGTTAGAAAAAAGGGATTTTAGGTGTTTTCACAGTGAATAGATGGTTAGATGTTTGAGAAAACAGGTAAGTTTAATCTGATCTAAGTATTATATAATATATCCGTGTATACAAATATATGGTTCCCATTAATGTGCGATTTCCTTCAAAGCTTCTCAATGTGAGAAAAAAAAAAAAAGCACCTATCAAAATTTGACAGAGTCAGCTTTTAAAATCACAGCACTGCGCTTTGACTTTAGCTTTTCCCAAAAGTCATCCTTGATAATAGTGTGGTCTGATAATGTGATAAATTACCCTAGATACTTTCAGTCATGTTAGCTGACTTACTAACAGTGAAACAGTAATTATAAAGACTACTGCAGACATGCCTTGGGTCTGAATATTCTGAATGAAAACTAAATTACTTCAGCTAGGCAGTACTTCAAAGTCACTTGTTACCAAAAATAAAACCAGTATCATGAAATTCAGAATTGTATTAAAAACTTCATTTTAAACAAATTCCAGGACCTCAGACTTTTAGAGCAAACCTTTCAAATACTGGTCCCATGGAACTGGTCCACTTTAGTTCTAGCCACAGTGTACCAAACAGTCCTGCAATCTGTTTCCCACAACATGCTTGTGGGCATTAGGAAGTCCTTTAGAGATCACATCCCCAAGAGCTGACTTCATTGGGGGGTCGGGAGGGTAGCTGGTCAATCAGTGTTCTAGGCTTGCATGTTCACCCATACAACCCTCCAAGGCATTCTAAGTTTCCCCGAGGTCCCTTACAAGAAATCAAAGTCAACTACCACAGTGGTGCGCGCATCCTCCCTTGTGCTGTTTAGCTCTGCTTCTTTAAATCAAGTCTCAAATGCAAACCAAAAGGCAGAAATCCTGACAAAGTGCAGCTCTGCTTCTAGATAAGCTTAGAGCATTGTTATCGATGGTAAAAATAAACTGTTTTTTTTGTTTGTTTGTTTTTTTGAGACAGGGTTTCTCTGTGTAGCCCTGGCTGTCCTGGAACTCACTCTGTAGACCAGGCTGGCCTCGAACTCAGAAATCCGCCTGCCTTTGCCTCCCAAGTGCTGGGATTAAAGGTGTGCGCCATCACCGCCCGGCTAAAAATAAACTTTTCATTCTCACCTGCTTCAGTACAAACATTTCTCAGGTCTGCTCCATTAAAGCCATCTGAAAGCTTTACAATTGCTTCATAATCTGTTTAGAAAAACATAACAGAAATCAACAAGATAATAAAAAACATTTAATATTGAATTTTGTTCATAAAGAAAATTTAAATGGAGTAGTTCATTTTGAATTTGAACAGCATTACCCGTGCTACTATTTTACAACATTAACCAACTAAACTCACTACAAGGTAAACTGGAATCAGGGAGACATACTTTTGAATTTAACCAAAAATGTCATCAGGATTTGGAGGTGCCTGCTTAAGCTATAAAACACACCCAAGTAAATGCAATTACTCAGACTCATTAAATCTGCTGCACACCTGTAATCAACCCTAAGATGCAGGAAGAGTGGCACAAAGAGAAGCTCCAAGCAAGGTATGCAACACAGACCTTGGACCCACACACAAATGGCACTCACTCTTGATGATGTACACACAGTTACAGGTTACAGTAGGAGGGAGAGACACTCTCTTCAGTGCTGTAGCCACAGGAAAGGGGCCATACTTCTCTAAGCAGCCACATTTAAACTCACTGGATTGGGGACTGGAGAGATGGTTGCTCCTCCACAGGACCTGAATTTGACTCTCAGCACCCACACAGTGCCTAACAAGTGTCTTAACTCCAGTTCCAGGAGCTCAAACTCTCTCTTCTGGTTTTTAGGAGTACCAGGTACTCACTTGGTGCACAGGCATACATACAGGCAAACACTCATACATATAAAATAAATACGTACATAAGATAATAAAAATTTAAATAACCACAAAACTCACTCAGTGGAAAAATAAAACATAAAATTAGAAGGAGCTAAGATTGGAAGAGGAAGGAATCAGGTGCATGGGAGGGAGACAAGAGAAAGAAATAGGATGAATATGGCCAAAATTCAAAATACGCATGTGCGTGCACACACACACACACACACACACACACACACACACACACACACACACACGCACACACACACACACACAAAATGGCATAATGAAACTCAGTATTGTTTATAGTGTATTCTAACAAAAATTCTAAGGACTAGGGGTACAGCTCAGTGGTAGAGTACACGCTATGCAATTTCTAAAGTCCTGAGTTCAATCACTGCACCTCAAAATAAAACAGTCAAGCAACAAAAACAAAATAATTTGGGGGCTAGTGAGATGGCTCAGCAGTTAAAAGCACTTGCTGCCCTTGCAGAGGACTGAGGTTTGGTTCCCAGTATCCATGAGGTGGCTAACAACCGTCTAACTCTAAGACACATGTGGTGAATAGACATAGACTTAGGCACATACAAATACACATAAAATATATAAGTATATAAAACAGTAACAATAAGTGGAATGTACTTTAGTCATGCAAGTCAAATGTAAAATATACTAAACGTGGAGATAATTTTATCAAAACAGAACCTTTAAATGATATAGCAAGTATTTATTAGCTTTCTGATTTTCTTTGCAAACCTCAAGTTGTATGGTATCTGGAATAACAGTAATAGTGAACTCTTTCTCCTCATGAAATAGACATGGCTTGAAGAACTACAGCTCTGTGCTAGCTATGAATCTGACAGAGATTGTGAGGGAAACAGCAGAGCACAGACTACAACTATGAAACACCTTTGTCGGCAACAGAACCGGTCAGTCTCTATACCAGGACTTTTTAGTCAGCACTTAATCATGTTCACGTCACTAACCTAGGAGCAGGGATTCCCAAGTATCACAGTATCTAGCAGCTTGGGAGAGCTCGGTATCTGTAGAAGATACTGATCATCTAGCACCTTTTGTTTACATCAATCTTTCCAGCTTAAGAATCCTCATAGGGACAGTGAAATGCGCTGTAACAGTCAATCATCTGTAGCTATTAGAACCATCAAGTTCTAGAGAGTTTTTCTCTGTTGTTGCTGTTATTTGAGACAGGGTCTTACTAGGTAGCCTTGGCTAGCTGGAAGCTTTCTATGTAGACCCAGCTGACCTCAAATTCTCCATCCTCCTGCTTTTGCCTCCAGGGAGCTGGGATTGAATTTGTGTGACATTATACTGGCTCTAAGAAATTCTTGTTTTGGTGACTGAACTCAGGACTGCAAGCAGTCTAAACAAGCAATCTGTCACTGTGCCACTTTCCAGACCATTCTAAAGCTGTCAAGCAATTATACTAGATTCTCTTAGTACAGAAGTCAACAAACATTTTGTGTAAAAGGAGAAAAAAAAATAAAGCCTGCCTTGCAGGCTTTCTGTCCTTTCAAAACTACTTCACTCTACTGTTGTGGTGGGAAGGCAGCCATAATGGTATACAAATGAATGTTACAGATGAGTGACTACAAGACTCTCTGACAAAAGGAAACAGCCAAGTAGAACTCAACTTGTAAGTCACGTTTTGCTATAGTTCAGCCCCTCACTTACATATGCACTTTATATTTTAAATTTTCATTTTAAACTTATTTATTTATTTATTTTAGGTTTTTTTTTTTTTTTTTTTTTTGAGACAGGTGTCTCTGTGTATCCCTGGCTGTACTGGAACTCTCTTTGTAGACTAGGCTGGCTGATAACTCAAAGATCTGCCTGCCTCTGTTTTTTGAGTGTAGGCACTACCACCTCCTAGCTAAACATATTTATTTTTATGCGTCTGGGCGTTTTACCTATCTTTGTATGTGCACCATGTGCACGAAGGGCCCTCTGAGGCCAAAAGGTGTTGATCTCTTTGGACTAGAGAGACAGCTGGTTGTGAACTGTCATGCAGGTGCTGGGAAATAAACCCAGAACCTCTGAGAAAGCAGCCAGAGCTCTTAACTGCTGAGCCATCTCTCCAGCACACACACGTGTAACTTATTTTCTATTTTTTCTACTCCCCTCCGATTTGTAACAATACTTCTGATCTTCATACTTTATTTTTCTGAGAAGATAAAAGCATTCGGAAGATTCCATAAATTCCTAGGCTAACTGGGAACCTGTAGGCAGCAGTATCCAGTTGTGTTGTACTTTATTCACCCGATGCACACTTGAATAAACACTCTACTTCCTTACCTATTTCACCATGCTTTGTAATAGGGCCTGCGTGGATTTTCAATATATCTAATCTTGCTTGTTCATTTGGTAAATCGATATCTGAAAATAGAAATAAATTATTTTGTACTCCAATTGATAGTTTAAATAGAGTGGAATGAGGTTGGGTAAAAAGAAAAAATTGACAAGAGGGAAAAACAGAGCAGATAAAGAAAAGAGAGTAACTCACGTATTTTTCTGTCTAATCTTCCTGGGCGCAGCAAAGCAGGATCCAGTGTATCTGGTCTGTTTGTAGCCATGATCATTTTAACTCTATGCAGAGTGTCAAATCCATCCATTTGATTTAGTAACTAAAAGATTAGAGACAGACTTTACCAAACACGTGCATGTTTGTGCACTTACACACAAAGTTTAATGAAATAAAATTATTAAAAGATAACTAGCTGACTGATGATGTCTGCTATTTGATACTACCAGTTATATGCATTATTATTTTACAATAATTGTGTTGCTCTAAAATACCTCTTATAGTTTTGGCTTTTGCTTTAACAGGGTCTCATGTGCCCTAGGCTATGTTCTTAACTACTGAGACATCTCTGCTGCCCCTTGTTTGTTTGTTTAATGTTCATTGGTGTTTTGTGTGTATGTATATCTGTGTGAAGGTGCCACAAGCCCTGGAACTGGAGTTAGAGACAGCTGTTAACTGTCATGTGGGTGCCGGGAATTGAACCTGGGTTCTTTGGAAGAGTATCCAGTGCTCTTAACCACTGAGCTATCTCTCCAGGTACAAGATTTTATATTTTAAGTTTAAAATACTGTATAAAGAAACAGTCCTAAGTTCATGGCCAGACTTGTCTATGTAGAAGTTCCAAGCTAGTCAGCGCTACACGGACGACAGCCTGTCTAAAAATGCAAAACTGCTCACCCTCTGCCTAGGTCTGTATAGTCTGTAAAAAAAAAAAAAAATTGATTTTCAAATACTACAATAAAAAAAATTAAAATCGAATGACCTGTGCTACCTAGTTTCCATCTGTAGCAAATGGGATCTTGCATTATGTACCCTCTTCACTTCATCACCAATCTGCTCCATCATTAAAACTAGTTTACCATACCAGGGTCAGACTCCACCATCAACAGGGGGCTGAGAGTAGAGGGGAGACTGGAATCTTCTGGAGGGAGATGCCCTGCAGTCATGATCTCATAGCGGCTGTGATTACCTGCCCAAGATCAAGGCAGGCAATAATTCCCATACAATCGGTGGGCTTATGAAGAGTTACCGATTGATGACTGCTGGGACATAGGAAACAATTTTTCTTCAAGGGTATGGCCCTTAGTAGTTTGCCAGTTCAAGCAGGAAACACTAATTGGACTCAGTGAGTTGTTAAAAAGAAAGAACATGAAGGTGGGACGGTGTTGGGGGTGTTAGTGAGGGTGGGTAGATGTGAAGACACATTATGTATGCATGCATGTATGTATGGAAGAAATTGTCAAAGAATAAAAAATAACTTTTAAAAATTCTATTTTAGCTGTCATAGTCTTAGTAATAAAGATCAAAGAGGGGCTTTCAGAGCAGCCACAAACAATACAACTCATTTACTGCTGAAAATCTTAATATATGTTACTTACACCTTCCCCAAACCAGAACAAATGCTTAACAATATAATTCATACATCTGAATAGCTGATCTATTTAAAAAACTACAGAATAGTACAATTTTACCAAATAGAATTTTATATCTCTCTTTTTTAGTGTCCATTTTTCTCATTTTAACTCTTCATATGAAAACATTAAAACTACACATTTAGCCAGGTAGTGGTGGCAGACACCTTTAATCCCAGCACTTGGGAGGCAGAGGCAGGCCGATTTCTGAGTTTGAGGCCAGCCTGGTCTACAGAGTGAGTTCCAGGATAGCCAGGGTTACACAGAGAAAACTTGTCGTGAACACTCCCCCTCCCCAAAAAAACCCTACACATTTAGATGGAACTATATGCTTTAATTCACATTTATAATATTTAAATCAGTTTAAACATAACATATTCTTACTCATCATTTCTTTATGGCAAAAACATTGTATTCTCTTACAGTCCTGAAATATACATGATTTTTACAGAGATGCCCTGGTATTTGACAGACAATATATTGCTTGTTCCTGTCTATCTGGTATCCACTGATCAACCTTTTCCTGTCTTCTCCTGTTCTTTAGTGAGTAACTTCCTTCTTCTGTGTATGTGTGTAGATAGTATGTATGTGTGGAGTCCTTCTGGAGGCTACCAGCAGAAGGACATTGGTGTACTCGGCCTCTCTGCCTTATTTCCTGGAGGAGGAGTCTCTCACTGAACCTGAAGCTCCATGGCAATAAGCAAGTCTAAGCCCTCGTCTCTACCCTCACTATTTTGGAACAACTGGCAAGCAAAGTTTTTACATGAGTGCTAGGACTTTACCTCAGGCCATCATACTTGCAATCACTCTTACCCACTTAGCCATCTTCCCAAACTACATACTAATCATTTTTCTTATTAGGGATTATGTACAGGAACATGTTCATTCCTAGAAACATTTCATACACTTTCACCTACCAATATGCATTATTTAGTTTTTTATTAAGTGTTTTATTAAATGTTTCTTTATAAATCCTCTTTATCAAATATTACCTCCATTAAAGTTCTCTGAATCTCTCTGTCGGCTGATGTTCCCTCAGAAAACCGACGGCCACCTAAAGTAATAAATTTGGAAATATACAGACATTATTCTTTTGTTCTGTGCCCACCATTAAATAAAACAGAATGTAATAGTAGCCGGTGTTAAAAATACTAAGTAAAACTTAAATAGTAAAAGTTATAGCGAGTTAGAAATAATTTTGGAATACTCCTCATTCTGTAATGCTCAAGGTTATTCACTAAAACCAGACCTGTTCTCTAACCTCTGAAAAGTCCCATTCAGGCAGGTAGTCCTCTGAGGACACCACTCACAGTGCTACCTACTTCAGACAAGTCATAGCTACTGGTCAGACAGGAGGTTCTTTCAGGTTTGTAAACAACTTCTAACAAAAAGCAGGTAAGATAAAATTGAAAAGGTTTTGTTCTTACCAATAGCATCTATTTCATCCATAAAAATGATGCATGGCTGGTGGTCCCTGGCATAATTAAACATTTCTCTAATCAAACGAGCACTTTCACCAATGTACTTGTCTACAATAGAACTAGATACAACCTGTTTAAAAGAAAAACAGTAATAATATTAGACAAATCCAATAAATTTCATTTAAAAAAATGTAAAAGAATTTCCCCTTACCTTTAGGAAGTTGCAGTCCAGCTGGCTGGCAACAGCTCGTGCCAAGAGTGTTTTCCCAGTGCCTAGAAATATCAAGTGAGGTTGGGTTCAAAGCAGAACCATTTTTAAAAGCCTTTCAACAACTCTTGGTGCTGGGGAGATGGCTCAGTACTTAAGAATGCTTGCTGCTCTTCCCAAGGACAAGAGTTCAGTCAGTCCCTAGCATCTCTTAAAGCATCTTAAAATCACCTGTAACTCCAGTCACAGGTGACCCGACACCAACTTCTGGCTTCTATGGGCACCCACCCACATATGGCACTCACCTGCACAGATACACACAAACACATAACCAGTAACATAATTGTATTGATAGTGAATTCTCTAAAACTGAAGCTAAATCTACATAGAATTTTTATTTAAAATTCTAAAGTAATTTACTTGCAATATTAACTTTAATATTTAACTTTAGGGCTGGAGAGATGGCTCAGCGGTTAAGAGCACTGACTGCTCTTCAAGGGGTTCTGAGTTCAATTCCTACCAACCACATGATGGCTCACAACAATCTGTAATGGGATCTGATGCCCTCTTCTGGTGTGTCTGAAGACAGTGACAATGTATTCAAATACATAAAAATAACTAAATCTATAAAAAAATATTTTTAACTTTAAATATTCTTCCTTAAAAAAAAATGTTAACTTTAAATATCCCTCCAGATTTAAATTGGTAAATAAGTATAACATTAAAAATGTGACATTGGTATATGTATACACTGCAGAATGATTAAACCATGATAATATTTTTTTTATTTATTTATTTTATTATGAGTACACTGTATCTGTCTTTGGACACACCAGAAGAGGGCATCCAATCTCTTTATGGATGGTTGTGAGCCACCATGTGGTTGCTGGGATTTGAACTCAGGACCTCTGGAAGAGCAGTCCGTGCTCTTAACCACTGAGCCATCTCTCCAGCCCTTAAACCATGATAATTAACATATCTATTAACTCATATGTTTATTATTTTATGGTGAAAACCAAGTCTTCTTTCATCAATTGGAAATACCTAATACACTAACATCTAACTTTTTTGTGTTTTTTCTGTGAACTCAACCCATCCTTCTTCCCTCAGGCCCTCTTAAACAAATCATTCTCTGTAAGTTCAACTTCCTAAAATCCCCCACACAAGTGAGATCATGTGTCTTTGTGTGCCTGTTTACTTCACTTAGTATCATCACTGCAAGATTCATCCACGTCGACACAAATAACAGAAGTTACTTCTTTGTGAAGACTCAACCATATTCTACTGTGTACATATACCACATTTTCTTTATCCTTTTGTAAGTCGATGGATACTAAGATTTCCTTATTTTGGACACTGTAAATAGCACTACAATAAACATGGAGGTGCCCACATCTCTTGAACATACTGATTTCAGCTGTCTTGCATGCACACACACACACTCTCAATTGCTAAGGTATATAGTACTTTCATTTTTAATTTTCTGAAGAACCTCATACTGCTTTCTAAAATGGATGCATCAACTTACATTCCTATCAGCAATACAGTTTCTCATCTCTCCATCTTTGCCAATGCCTGGTTTCATTACATTTATTCACTCTTTTCTTGATAATAGTCATTCTAACAGGTATGAGACAGTATCTCATCTTGTAATTTTAAGCATAATGAATACAAAGCTTTAGAAATAAACTTATTCTTACAATATGGGCTATATACACTGAACAAATCTTTTTAAAAATTATTTATGCATTTTACGTATATAGGTGTTTTGTCTACATGTACACCTGTACCCCAGAAGAGGATATTGGATCACCTGGGACTATAGTTATGCATGGTTGTGAGCCACTGTGTGGGTGGTGCAAACTGAACTCATGACCTCTGGAAGAGGAACCAGTGCTCTTAACTGCTGAGCCATCTCTCTAGCTCCCGAATAGATTCTTTACCTGTATATGGTATCTTTAGCATCAATCATTAGTTATTTGGAAACTAGAGGGTCAGAGAATTATGCAATTCCCTTAAATACTGACGTTTTTCACTATAAAATATTCAAAATCATCTACTGGCATGACTATCCATCTCATCACTAAATCTTCTAGAATTAACATACTAAAGCTGTCAAATCCACTGGGTCTGGTAAACATTTTTCAAAAGTTCTAATTTTCGGTCTGGAGAGACGGCTCAGCAGTTAAGAGCAATAGCTGCTCTTCCAGAGGACCCAGGTTCAATTCCTCACAACCATCTGTAACTCTAGTATTAGGGTATCTGACACTCTCTTCTGGCCTTTTTGGCCACCAAGTGTGTATGTGGCACACAGACACACATGTAGGTATGTCAACTTGATACAAGCTAGAGTCATTTGATAAGGAAACTAAACTGAGAAAATCTCCTCAACTGGGCAAGTCTGTGGTGCATTTTCTTAGTGATTGATGTTGGAGGGTCTAGCTTGTTACTGGAGGTGCCAGTCTTGGTCTGGTGGTCCTAAGTGTTATAAGAAGGCAGGCTAAGTTAGCCATGATGGAAAAGCCAGTAAGCAGCACTCCTCCATGGCCTCTATCATCAGCTCCTGCCTTCAGATTCCTGCTCTGTTTGAGTTCCTTCCCTGACTTTGCAATGGAGTATAACATGAGAGCCAAGAGCCGAAATAAACCCTTTTTTCTCTGAGTTAATCATGGTCATGTTTTTTAGCACAGCAATAGAAACCCTAAGATACACATATTCATAAAAATAAGTTGTTTTTAAAAGTTCTAATTTTACTTGCTATTTCAAATTTTATGACTACTAACAGTCTGTACTACTTATTACACTTGTTCTAGAAAAACTATAAGCTAAATAACCAATTGCCAGACAGAATAACCAATTATCTAATCACCAGAAAGCAACAATCTGAGTCACCAGACTGCAAACTGTCCTTTCAAGTAAAAACTATTCCATGTAAAGCCTCCCACTCAAATTGCTGCATGAATGCTTTGCCTGAACACACTATATTTTTCAGCACGAATCGCACAGAAGTACTTTCTGTACTTTTTTCCATTTCATCACAGAAAACACTTCTTAAAAATGAAATTTTAATAAAATTTATCATTTTTATCCCTTTACTAGCATCATTCAAAGTGAAACTGCCCTTTCTGCTGACACTGAAAGTATGTGGTGGTCAAGAACAGTGACTACCAGCATTGGTGATGTCAGTGTTGAGCAGCTTTACCAAAATGTCTTTGTACCATCAGTAGATGTCAACACAAGGAAAGAGTTGAATAATACGCCAGTGGTTATGACCGTGCAGCTCCATCAGCGTGTCGCAGGGGCACCGTTTCTATGAAATGAACTTTAAGGCCTATGGTACACAGAATTACATGGACTGGGACAAGGCACAGAAGAACTCCACATGCCTCACGGAAGAGCAGATGCCAGCCTTTACTCTCAATAGAGTAGAGACTGGAATTGCCTATATTAAATTCCTGTCTTACTATTTTTTAATTCCTTCATCTACTCCTTTTCTGAAGGGACAGAGATAATTTGATACCAACCTGGCGGTCCATATAACAAACAGCCTTTTGGAGGTATTATTCCTACACGCTGGAATAATTCTGGATTTGTAAGAGGTAATTCTATTACCTGGAAAAGAAGTTAAATGTTTCTTAAACAGTAAAAAACTTTAATATATTTTAAAACATTTAAAGTCTAATAATATCATGTTATAATGTATGAGAGAGCTACACTTTCATGCTGTACTTAAATATTGTTTTTATTTCAGATGGAAATCTCTTAAAACCAGAAATTAAAAAATAGTGGTTGTTTTAGCAAGCTACATATTAGATTGTACACATGTATATACTTTGTAAAAATGTATTAGAATTACATATTTAAAAATCTGTACATTTATATCAGGTGCATATTTCACCTCAATAAAAATTACAGTATAAAGAAACAGAGAAGTTGGGCCTAGTGACATACATTTGTATCCATGCTACTCAGGAGGAAAACGCATGAGGACAGGAAGCTCTGGTTTAAAGTAGGTAAATTACCAAGACGTGTCTCAAAAGACAAAGTGAAAAAGAACGAGTGCAGCTCAGGGTGGAGCACTTGCCTGGCATGTGAAGTCCTAAGTTGAATTTCCAGGATTACAAAATAATCATAATCAGCAAAGAATAAAAGGATCTATAATAATTTACAGAATACAATGCAAAATAGTCACAAAACAAGCAATGTTTCTGACGTCATAATTGGTCACTATCACAAAAGACATAAAATTTCCTCTGTTGGCAGTTATGTCACAGCCTTTTTTACTCTAATTCAGAGGATTAAAAAAGAAGTAAGGGATGGCCATGTACTTGGTTGGTAGAGTGCTTGCCTCACCTAACATGCCCAAGCCCTGGGGTCTATCTCCAGCACAGCTAACATTGTAGCAATGAGCGCCCACAACCTGCAGCACTAGGAAGGTGAGAGTGCGGGAGGATCACAAGTTCAAAGTAACTTTCAGATGTGCAATGAACTTAAGGCCTGAGGTATATGAGAAGGAAAGAAAGAAGAAGAGAAGAGGAGGAAGAGGGAGAGGATCTGGCTATCCAATTTCTTTACAGTATCAACTACTTGAAAAAGCATCTGTTTGATAGCTATAAAGCCATAAAGCATGATTAGTATAAGCAAAAGTGTGAAAAAACCAAAACCAACATTCTGAAATATCTGAGGATAAAAAGTGTATGGTGTGTGTGTGTGTGTGTGTGTGTGGTGTATGTCTGTGTGTCCTACTCCTTGGAAGGTGGGATACAGCCAAGCAATGAGGGGGTCAAGTTTCATGAAAACATTTCCTTTTTCCTTCTCTTACCCTCTCACTAACTTGAATTCAGTATATACTTTTATTTCATAATCAGGCCAGTGCTTCTTTTTTATTGCGAAGAAAAATTTGGTTTCCAAATTGCCTGGAAGGCTTGTGCCCTACTCCAATCTTCAAACCACTCAGAGACCAATTTCCTTTAAAATTTTTAAAAATTTATTATTATTCTGTGTGCAAATATATGTGTCCCTATGTGTCTCTGTGTCCACACACATGTGCTAATGCACTTATGGATGATGATGAGGAGGAAGTGTACATAACACAGCACACTTGTGGGTGACAGAAGACAACTTTACAGAGTCAGCTCTTCTGTCCTCTTTTACCTGTGTCCCAGGGATCCAACCCAGGTTATCTAGGCTTATGTGGCAAGCACTTTTACTGACTAAGCCATCTTAACAGCCCAAAGAGTTTGTACTTTAACAATGGTTTCAGAAAGTTTAATGAGATGAAGTCTAAGAATTATGAACCACCATGAACTACCCATCCAAGAACTACTTCCAACTCTTCTCATTCATTCCTAAATACTTTGACTGGCCTCAGGAAAAATAAATCAGTAAGATAATATAACTTCCCAGGTTATAAGACAAGGCAATCCTAATCTAATTCATCACTTGAAAACTTATAAACTTCTATAGCCAGTATTTTAAAGAACTAGTTTGAAAAAAGATAAAGATATTTAGGGTCAAGGTGACACAGTTTTACTGAACTGAGATGTTGACATCACTAGCTTTAGGGAAACCATACAGCATGTTGCCCAGTGTGCAACTTTAAGTAGTAAAGGCATTAGATATCAATATATCTTCACTTTCCCTTACATTCTTCTTTGGCCACAAAAAAGTGATTTTCCTAACACCAAACATCTCCAAAATAACAAGCAGCAGTAATCCTTACAGCTAGAAATTCAGTGCTATTCTCAGCAGAGATACAAATGTATAGTAAGGAGAAGGCACTACTGAGCCAAAAACAAAACAAAAAACCAACTGGACAGTAACAACAACAACAACAACAACAACAAAAACCCTAAAATGTAATTTTACACCCTGTTTCTCCCTTCAGACCTCCTAAAACCAACAGGGCAACAGTCTGAGATCAGAGACTACAACACCCACCTCTCTTAATTCCCGAATCTGTTCTGACAGGCCTCCAATCTCAGAATAAGATACATTCCCAGGATCCTCATGAGACATGTTGTAAACCAATGGATCCACCTCTCTTGGCAGATATCTAGGATGAAAAAAATCAGAAACTTTCCTTTCAAAAGATTTCCTCTTAGCTTGTGGATAATGCAAGCACCTATAAGTTCCTTCTAAAGACAGAGGTAAGAAGTAGTAAAATCTTTGATGATTTCACAAATCCTGTACTTTAGAAAACCTCCCCTCATGCAATGGAATGTAAACTAAAAAATGAGAAACCCACCTCATGATGGTCAGTGTGGTCATATCCAAAGCAACTCTGGTTCCTGGCTTCAGCTTACTTTTATCAAGCTGGTTTCATAAAACAAAAGATATTACACAGACATTTAAAAAGGGAAACACTACTTTAACAAGCCTAATATTCAGAAGCCATATACATTTTTATACTACATATAAGACACAAATATCACATTATAAACTCCCTGTCAATAGAACTAGAAAAAAAAAATTCCTTAGTGAATATTTTGGGGGAAAAGAAAGGAAAATGGTTTGCAAGTGTATCTATAAAATATACTTTGAACATCTTCTAGAAGGAAAAATGTATATACGTAAGCCTAAGAGATAAGGAAACAGGTCTCCTTTTAAAAGATTTCTATTAACATACTAAGGAATGCAAGCCTGTGGTGCTACCACACGGCTTTAATCCAGCACTTCGGAGGCAGAGCCAGACAGATCTCTGAGTTTAAGACCAGCCAGGTCTACAATATGAATTCCAGGATAGCCAGGGATACACAAAGAAACCCTGTCTCCAAAAACAAAAACCATACTAAGGAATGCAAAAGACAAAACAAATAAAAACTCACTCCTGTGCCCTTGTACACAACAGTCCCCATACTGAGCACATCGTGTTAGATAATTACTGTACACTTAAGCACGTTGACTTCCTTGGTTACAATTGGATAGTCTAATCTATAGATGCACTAAACATATACTGAAGATCTCACTTGTCAGAAATAAAAAGTCACGTTCCAATAGTTTCAAAACTGTTTGCCATTCTATTTTTAGAATTTTAACTACTTTGTACAGGACTCTACAATGAACTACAAATTTAGGAGACTGTGCTCACTAAAACAGAAATGATGTAGAAAGTTACTGATAACAACACTGATTAAATCAATTGAAACTGTCGCCAGACCAAGAGTGGGTTTTCTTTGGAAAGGTTTTTGGTGCCCAAGCTCAGGGACAAAGCATTTTTTTTTTTTTTTTTTAGAAACAAAACTATAATTACATAAGGGTTGTATGAGGGTGGTTGCACTGGTGCGGGATTTGGAGTTATCATTAACATACGCTTCCTTTGCAAGGCCCACTAGTATCTCCCAGACACTACAGAATACATTTGGACCATGGTCAAGATCATGGACAGTCCTAGAAGCATCATCAAGGTGATGTGGATGTTGGGGATGGAAGGCTGAGAAGTGACTGGACAGGCACAAAGTAACACTGGGAGAGGATGGTGTTACCTTAGTCATTTCAAAATGAAGTAAGGGGTAAGGAAATTGCTCAGTGCTGTTTTCAAGACAGAGGACTTAAGCTCCTATCTCTCTCACTTCTACAAAAAGCCAGGCATGGCTACTGGTGCCAACATTGGTAGGTGGGAATAGGCAGATCCCAAGATCACTGGCCAGCTAGCCTAGCCAAGACTTCTAGTTCTATGAGACTGTCTCAAAGCAGTAACATAGAGAATGATGTCCTGCTCTGGCCTTCCGAATGCAACACACACACACACACACACACACACACACACACGTAAAAATGGGCAAAACACTAAATTTAACAGATTAGGCATTAAAAAAAAGACCTTTATAAGCAAAGTACTTCAAGAGATAAATCAATAGAAGCTCTTTCAAAACAGTATCTTAGAAATGCCAAATTTTGGCATCCAGAGGGCCTTGAAAGGAAGAGCTGGCTCTTCTCTCTGAGCGCCGCCAAGATGGTGTTCAGGCGTTACGTGGAGGTAGGCCGGGTGGCCTACATTTCCTTTGGGCCCCATGCTGGAAAGCTGGTCGCAATTGTAGATGTTATTGATCAGAACAGGGCCTTAGTGGATGGACCCTGCACTCGGGTGAGGAGGCAGGCCATGCCTTTCAAGTGCATGCAGCTCACTGACTTCATCCTCAAGTTCCCACACAGTGCCCGCCAGAAGTATGTGCGGAGAGCATGGGAGAAGGCGGACATCAATACGAAGTGGGCAGCCACAAGATGGGCCAAGAAAATTGATGCCAGAGAAAGGAAAGCCAAGATGACAGACTTTGATCGCTTCAAAGTCATGAAGGCAAAGAAAATGAGGAACAGAATAATCAAGACTGAAGTAAAGAAACTTCAAAGAGCCACTATCCTGAAAGCTTCTCCCAAAAAGGCAGCTGTTGCTAAAGCTGCCATTGCTGCAGCGGCAGCAGCGGCTGCTAAAGTCCCAGCCAAGAAGGCAACGGGACCAGGCAAGAAGGCTTCTGCACAAAAGGCTGCAGGCCAGAAGGCAGCACCTCCTGCTAAAGGTCAGAAGGGTCCAAAGACCCCAGCCCAGAAAGCACCTGCTCCAAAGGCAGCCGGCAAGAAAGCATAAGGCTACACAAAGAATAAAGGTTCTTTTTGACTGAAAAAAAAGAAAGGAAGAGCTGATTAAGACATAACAAAAATCCATTTCATTACTGGAGATTGAACACAGGGTGTCTCATATGCTTGTCATGTATTTTGCTACTGAGCTACACCCCCAACCCTAGGCCTGTAATACTTTCTAAATCTTTATTTCTATGTGTATGGGTGTTCTGCCTGCATGCATGCTGTGTTACCAGGCAGGTGGCTGTAGACACCAGATCCCTTAGGAATGGAGTTACAGATGATTGGGGGCCCTTGTATGAGTGCTGGGACTCAAACCCAGGTCCTCTGGAAGAACTCCCCGTGCTCTTAACTGCTGAGGCACACTCTCTAGCTCCTAGGCTTGTAGTATTCCATTAGAAAAATATCCAGTTATATGCTGAAATCCTAAGATTAGCTTTAGCCTCAATGTTAAATATTATTCTAGAGTCACATTGTATCAATGTTTTAACCTGAAAATGTCAAATACTTGGACTGGTATTCAGGAGGCTGAGATACCAGTACTGTTAGTTTAAAGCCACTATAAGCTACATAGCAAGATCCAGTTGCAAAAAACAAAACCAACAATGAAAACTTAAACTCAATATGACAAATAATCCTAGAAAAGTCCTTCAGTAAATGCTTAAGACACTTCCTAAAGAAGAGAATGGTATATAAATTGCAGATGCTACTGAATCATTCTAAACTACTCACTGACATTGTAAAGTCTGCAAAATGAAATTCAGGGATATTTCAATTTGCCCATTCTGGTCTAAATGACTAAAAAATTAACTACTGCAGAGTCTGTAAGTAACACTTTAATGTTTAAATGTAAGACATGGATAACTGATGCCCTCTTCAAGAAAGACATCATACTGAACCATTTTTTTTTTTCTAGTTCTAAAATGATTTGATTTCTAAGTACAGATATCTAACTAGGACAATGTGAAATAGTAGGGACTAAGAAATTCCAGGCTTTGCTAGTCATTTGCTGTGTCTGAACACAGCAACCACTCTTAGGAGTTATGGGCACAACACCTCACCTGCCTACCTTAACAATTAAATTAATGTACAAAGTGTTTTTCTCATTTACAAAGCCTATACAAATGGAAAGCATTACCTGCCGACGACAACCTACGACATATCTTGGTCCATTTGTTGCTTTAACAATGACTAGAAAAAGAATGAATTGAAAAACAAAGTTAGAAAACAAATACATCTACGTCTATGGTGAATGTAGTTTTATTTCTGACCTCCAAGAACAGTAAATACAAAATTTAGCTTATATAAAAGACCAACTTAAAAAAAAAAAAAAAAAAAAAAAGACCAACTTGTCATTAGAATACTTGGCACTTCAGAGCTACCCTGATAGCTTATTAAATAGAGGCACTTAGACCCCAGCCCATTGATCTGACTACGGTCAATCCCTGGATCCAATCTTATACAGTGGAAGGAGAAAACCAACTCCCACAAATTGTCCTTTGATCTCTACATGTGTGCTGTAGCACATGCACAGGCATCCACACACAGATGCATACACATATACACATGTGTGTATGGGGATGAACACACGGACACACACGAATAAATGCAGTAAGAATTAAAATAGCCTTCCATTACGGCACACATGCCTAAAACCCTGGCACTGGAAAGCAAAGGCATGTAGATCTCTTGTGAGTTCAAGGCCAGCCTAGTCTACACAGGAAGCTGCATCCAGAGCTACATAATACCTGACCTCATAAATAAATAAATAAATAAATAAATAAATAAATAAATATAAAATCAAAAGTTGGGAAGGAACTGGGGCTTTTGTTTTTTAACTAATTAGTTAATCCACTTACATTTTTCTTCTGTTAACTGTTTAAGCACTTCACCTACAATCTGAAAGAGATAAAAGGTGCATTACCTTTTGCCAATAGCTTAAAAATGGCAAAATACTTTCAAACTTTATCACCTACCTGTCCAACACTTTGTAGTGCCTTCAGATCATTTTCAGACTTTTCATACTGCTTGGTAAGTTCTTTTAATTGCTCCCTTACTGAAATAATAAAATTTTAACATTTTAAATTAAACAATAACTGCATTAAATTTTTTACTTAAGTTTCTTTTACCTTATGTAGGTTTCATATCCACTGTATCAAACCACAAAAAAAGATTTTGCAGTCTGTAATGGATAGGTGGCATGTTTTAAAAGGAAATGTAATAGAAAAATTATCATATATCTATTTTCTTGGTACAAAATATTTTTAAGTTACATTCTTAACAGATAGTGACATAATATCACCTTCAGATTTGCTACAAAACTAAATGATAATCTATGAATCAGGCCTCCCATAGCTACACTAGATCACCTGGTTTACTCAATGGTTGTCAATACTAAATAAAGTCAACCAAGGCAATTCTTCACCGAATGAATCATAGGTTCCTGCATTCTCTTATTTAATTAAATAACGCAGGCTTTTCAAAACGCAAATACTCAGGGTGTACAGAAAACTTGGCACTTAGTATGAAGCTCGAGGAAAGACGACAAGGTCTATAACTACCACTGGGCCCTTTCTACTCCAAGTACAAGCCGCCTCAGTGAGTTCAAGTCCTGCTGGAGCTTCTTAGACTCAAACGTCCTCCGGTTCCCGAGACTCCAACCCTGCCTTCCTTGCACTCGGGATATATCGCCAGCCCACTTGTTCCTCACTCCTCTAATCCTCTCCTCCCCTTTCACCTCAGAATCGTGGCTGCTCCCTAAGCCACCGGACTGGGACTGGGGCCATACCCACGGCCGAGGCGGTGCTGCACCCCAGCGCGGGGCGGGATGACAAAGCGCCTCGTCCCTGGACTCAGGCCTTCCCAAGCCGGGCGCTCTGTTTTCGGGCTCAGCCGAAGCCTCTGCTTTATCAGAGACGGAAGCCGGTCCAGGTACTAGAGAGTGTATCAAGGCTCACTCACGCTCCTTAAGACGGCCGTCAATCTCCTTGTGCTCTAGCAGCTTCTTGCGGTAGTCCTGAAGCGCCTTATCTCTAGGGTCCGCCATGATGAGAAGCCGTCGCTCATAGGGGATGCCGGGAAGGGCCATGGCAGCCCGGGCGGGGGAGGGGGCGGGGCGAGGGCGCAGAGGCGGCCTGGGGCGGGATCGTGGCTGGCCCCGCCCCTTCCGTCTGGCCGGCCTTTTGCTCCCGGTGCGGGAGTCTGTGTCTTGAGTCACCTAGAGCGGCAGAAAGCCTTAAAAGCGCTGAAGATGGTCTCCGGTCACACTGTCCCCTGCAGGCCAAAGTAAGCAATGACTGCTCAATATTAAGTCACTGCTTTCCTAGAACGCCGAAGGATCTGTAATAAACTGAAAAGGAAGAGGAATTGACAAATTTTTTTTTATGCATGAATACACTGTAGTTGTCTTCAGACACACCAGGAGAGGGCATCAGATCCCATTACAGATGGTTGTGAGCCACCATGTGGTTGCTGGGAATTGAACTCAGGACCTCTGGAAGAGCAGTCAGTGCCCTTAACCTCTGAGCCATCTATCTCTCCATCCCAGATTTATTTATTTATTTATTTTTTGAGACTTGTAACCCAGGCTGCCTTGGCACTCACTACGCAGCTGAGGGCTTGAACTCTGGTCCCCTTACTTCCTAGTGGAATTACAGGCATACATCGAACATTCATTATGTGCTGTGTGGAAATCGAATCAACATTCTCCTGCATGCTAGGCAAGTGCTTTCCCAACTGAGTTACATTTCCAGATTCAGCCTTTTTCTTTCCCAAAATAATTTATTTTTATTTATGTGTATGTTTGTGTCTAAGTGTATACTTCAGGAGGGCAAGTGCTCACAGAGGCCAGTAGAGAGCGTCGGATTTCTCAGCTCTGGAGTTACAAGCTGCTGTGATTTTTTTTTAAATCTTATTTATTTTATGCATATAAATGTCTTGCCTGCATGTATGTATGTGCAGCACGTGTGTGTCTGGTGCTAAAGGAGGTCAGAAGAAACCACATGATCCCCTGAAACTGGAATTACAGATGGTTGTGAGTTACTATGTGGCTATTGGGAACCGAACCCAGATCCTCTGCCAAAAGCAACAAGTAGGAATACCCTTTGAGCTGTCTCTCTAGGCTCAGTGACTGTGTTCTGTTAAATTGTTATTGACAGGCTGGGAGTGTAACTTTGGTAGAGTATTTGCCTAGCACACAGAAGGCCCTGAGTTTAACCCCTAGCACCCTAAAACTAAATGACTACACTCGACAAACACACAGAGATCTTGCGGAAGAGCCGGAAGCTCACATAGCCAGTGAACCACTTTCCAGCCTCAAGATGCAGCCTTTTGATATCAACTGCATGAGCAGAAGTAGGCAATTCCAGTCACTCAATAAAGAACTGACCTGCTTGTAATCTAATAAGGAAATTAAAAATCACTTGGATAGGGGCCAGAGATGGTTCAGTGGGCAAAGGCGCTCTTGTCATGGTAGCCAGGTGACCTGAATTGGATTCATGGAACCCACTTAAAACTGGCATGAGGTCCACATGTACAGATGCATAGAACACTAATAAATCATGAAAATATCTTAATGTAGTAAATGCTACAATTGAAATAAAATGATATTATGGGATAAGGAGGAGAAAAAATTTTGAACACGTCTGAGATCAGAAGATGGACCACTATGCCACCACACGGAGAGCCTTCTGAATAGATTAAACAGCAAATGCATGATTCTGAGGTAGAGAAGAGTTTGGCTCACTTCTGTCAGGGAAAGGAGGCCAGCAAAACTGGAAGGAAATGGGTTAGAGAAATAGAACACAAGATAAAGTTTCTGCAGCGACCAAGGTAAGAACTTTGAAGTCTGCTGGGACTATCTCAGATCTCTGTAGTGGAGGGGTGGTGATATCTTGATGTCTTCATAAAATCAGCATAATTGTACATATTTATAAAGGTTGTCATGGGTATTAAGTAGACAACCTAACTAAAGATGTTAATCCAAAATAGGGCATATGGTAATTGTATTCTTTTAAATTGTTATTCTCATGCTGGGAGTATAACATTGGAAGAATACTTGTCTAACATACAGGTGGGTTTAACTCCCAGCACTCTAAAAGTAAATGAATATGCTTTACAAATACACATACAGTTATGTGAATTAATGCCCAAAGTGACAGAGTTCTCCAAATTTACATGGAGAAAATGGTGTGGGTATTATGTGAGTTTTCTGTTGTATTTTTTTTTCTAAAAATGGCTTTTGAAGTAGACAATAAGTAAATAATGCTTAGGCAGGAAGTGTCCTTTCTCCCACACAGTTGTAACTATTTTGAACTAATGAATAGGTTCATACCAATATATATATCAATTCTAACATCAAGAAGAAAAGACAAGGCAGAACATAAAAGGCAGCCCAATTTGTACAGTTCAGCAAAAATATATGCATACAGGGACTGGAAAGATAGCTTAGCTCTTAAGAGCACAGGTTACTCTTCCAGAGAACCTGCATTCAATTCCCAGCACCCACATGGTGGCTCACAATCGTCCCATAACTCCAGTCTCAGGGTATCCAATGGTCTTTTATGGCTTCTGTGAGCACCAGGCATCCAAGTGGTACACATATATATGTGCAGACAAAACATCCCAAACACATAAAATAGAGTTCAAGTTGATTCTCTGAGGTTAAACAAAAATACCTGAGCATAGGTTGAAATGCCATTTTAATATCATCTTCATCAATCTTTTTAACTCTAGATTCTTTTTCCTCTTACCCATTTGGCAAAATTCTAACTTCAGCTGAACTTTCTGTGTTTCTCATGTTCACAGTAACCCTATTCTGTTGTGTGTGTGTGAGTGTGTGTTGCATGTGTGCATGAAAGAGTAACTCAATTTGTAAATATATATCCATATATGTGATTAAATGTTTAGTATCTTTTCTCATTCCCTGTAGAAAGCCCAAGACCTCACACAAAGATGGTGACTATTCATTTATTGCTCATGGATACATCTAGGACACTGTCTGAGTACATAAACTATATATATGAATTGATGCATGCTTATATATACAAAATGTATCAATGATATTAAGCACTGTGACAGATAAGCAGATATATTTAACAAAAGTGTCTAGGGGCCAGAGAGATGGCTCAGTAGTATGCACTGTACATTGAACCACAAATATTTCATGTCACAGTTTTCTTGGCTCAGCAACTTAGGAGCAAACCCAAGTTTACCTTCCAGTATCCACATCTTGTGGCTCACAACATCCTGTAACTCCAGGTCTAGGGCATCTAGTGTCCTCCACAGGGAACTGCATTCATGCATGTGCAGTCATGTGAATGCACACTCACACACGGACACACACAATTGGAAGTAAAAATAAATACTAGAAAGTCTAAGAAATCTCACTCAAAGTTTAAATATCAGAGTAGAATAGAAAAGATATGAAAATATAGGCTATTAATATTTTATTTGGGAGTCATTAAAAATAGTATAATAGAGAACTAAAGAAATGGCTCAAGGGGCTGGAGAGATGACTCAGTGATTAAGAGCACTGACTACTCTTCCAGAGGTCCTGAGTTCAAATCCCAGCAACCACATGGTGGCTCACAACCATCTGTAATGGGATCCGATGCCCTTTTCTGGTGTGTCTGAAGACAGTTACAGTGTATTGATATAAGTAAAATAATTTTTTTTTTTTTTTGGTTTTTCGAGACAGGGTTTCTCTGTGTAGTCCTGGCTGTACTGGAACTCACTCTGTAGACCAGGCAGGCCTAGAAGTAAAATAAATTTTAAAATTTTTAAGAAAAAGAAAGAAAGCCGGGCAGTGGTGGCGCACGCCTTTAATCTCAGCACTTGGGAGGCAGAGGCAGGCGAATTTCTGAGTTCGAGGCCAGCCTGGTCTACAGAGTGAGTTCCAGAACAGCCTGAGCTACACAGAGAAACCCTGTCTCGAAAAAACCAAAAAAAAAAAAAAGAAAAAAGAAAAAAGAAAAAAAAGAAAGGAATAGCTCAATGGTTAAGGCACTGGTTGCTCTTGCAATGGATCAGAGAATGGGATTTGATTCTGAGCACTCCCACAACCATCTGTACTCCATTTGTACTCCAATCCCAGGGGATCCACCACTCCCTCCGGGCCTTGTGGGTACAGCATACAAGCACATCACGCACACATACATGCAGATGAAACTCTGATACAGAGAAATACACTAAATAAAATGCTTTTAAAAATTAAGTAACAGCCGGGCGGTGGTGGCGCACGCCTTTAATCCCAGCACTTGGGAGGCAGAGGCAGGCGGATTTCTGAGTTCGAGGCTGGCCTGGTATACAGAGTGAGTTCCAGGACAGCCAGGGCTACACAGAGAAACCCTGTCTCGAAAAACAAACAAAAAAAAAAACAAAAACAAAAAATTAAGTAACAAACCAGATTTAAGCCCTTGTGAGGCCCATATAGTCTTCTAATCTACACCCCTCTAACTTAGTACTGATGAGTAGAGTCATTTTAAAACGTGTGCACAGCTCTGACACTTAACCACTTTAGGAAATGGGGCCTAATTCCTCTTGCGCAGTCTCGTGATTTCCTCCTGATGATTAAAGTGGCTGTAACAGCATACAACTGCTGAGACTAGGACATTTAAAAAAAACAAAAACCAAACTGAGGCTGCCCTTTTACTCTCCACTGGAATACCCTCTCTGGAAGAAGCCAGCTGCCATACCATGAGGATACATCAACAGTTCTACCGAAAGCCCCACGGGGAGAGAACAATCAACAGGGAACCAAGGCCTCCTGCCAACAGTCATGCAAATGAGTTATGTTGGTCACAGATGTCCAACACTAGGATAACTTCAGATGAATGCAACCTTAGTCTTGATTGCAACAGCCTGAGACTGAGTCACGTTCTCAGCTCACTTAATAGCTCCTGAGTTGCTGCCCCAGCAAAACTGAGGTGAAATGTTTGTGGTTTAGTATCACTAAAATTGGGAGTAAATTGTTAGCCAGTGATGAGTACAATGGAAACTGCTTGGAGAGGGAGAAGGAGAGGGAGAAGGAGAGGGAGAAATTGGCAGATAGTACCAGATAAGCAAGTAGCAACTACTTTT